ACCGGATGGAGAAAGGAACCAGTACTGAAGTTAAGTGTAACTCCGTGGAATCCGAAGAAGCCGGAAGGAACATTCGTGAAGCAACCATTACCAGCACCAACACTCGCAAGTATCTCTGAAGAAGCCTCAGCCCAAGAGCCAGTCATTCGAGCAGGAGACAGAGGTCAGTCACAAGATGAACAGTTGGAAGAGGTATTGGACATGTTGGCGGAAGACCTTTCAGTGTCAAACGGAGGCAGGACGAGTTCAGCAACCTCCAGTGCATCAGACGCACGAGGTGGACAAGGAGAAGAACTTGTGCCTGATGACATGATGCTGGGTGAGTTCAAGAAGCGGACCCTGCAAAGCGCCCAGCGGGAATCAGAGGAATCTGCCGCCAAGAAGACGCGATATGGAGAAAGTTCGGAGCCAGTGTCACCGTCAAGATCTTTATATCCGCCGCTTTTCGCAGGCAGGGTTTCTCAGGAAGAAGATGTGTTCCATTGGGATGAACACGAAGACTTGACAGCAGTGGAAGGTGAAGACGTTGAGTACGAAGATTTGATGGAGGAAGAGATGGAAGATGCGCCTAAGAACGAGCAAGGAGAAACGCCGCCAGAACTAAGCCCCGAAGCGTTGGACGCTATGGACCAAGAAACAGCAGTGGAGGAACTAAACAGACTCAGCAAGATCGGCGTGATCGAAGAGTTTGTGGAAAGCTGCGCAAACGGGGAAGAGAAGCGATGGAAACGCAGGTGCCGTATCGTGGCCCGCGAGTATAGGGCAGGAGCCACCAGTACGGCAGAGAGCTTCAGTCCGACAGCTTCGAACGCCGCCGCGAGATTGGTTCTCATCTTGCACCTCTTGAAACCAACATGGGTAATAATTGTGGTGCTACATATCAAGGATGCTTATCTGCAAGTACCCCAGCAGGAAGAAGTTCTAGTAACAATTTCTGACTGGATGAAGAAAGCTTGCAACATCGGAGAAGGAATCGTGTGGAGGTTGAAAAGATGCCTCCCAGGGCAACGAAACGCCGCAACCCGATGGTATGAGCATTTGAGATCAGTCTTAGCAGGAATCGGTTTCGAGTTTGCCAAACATGTACCTGCTTTGGCGAAGCACAAGGCAAGACCCCTGTGTATCTCTATCCATGTGGATGA